CGCTGAGCCCGCACCGCCTCCATAGCCGCGCTCCCTCCCCAGCACCACACTGTCAATCAGCGCCGCTCCGCGCCCAGCAGCCCAATAGAAGCGCCGGATCCGGGCGGCGGAGGCGGGGAAAGAATCAGCAGGCCAATCACAACGCGGTGCGCGGCTTGCGGGGCGGGGACAGGGCGCGGCGCATTCACCCACTAACACAAATAGCGGTGTGTGGTCGTGGGGCGGTAAGAGGACGGGGATTAGGGGGCTCATTGTCCAATCGCGCTGGGCTTTGTTACATTGACAGGCGAAAAGTCGAATCAAAATGCAGGAAGCACAAAAGAGCAGAGATGGCCGTACGGGATGACAGCCACACTCTTATTGATCAGCAAAAGCAATTAATTGCAAAAGAAACCAATCAAACTCTTCGACACAGATTTACAAGCTGACACTGCAGCAGTCGCCCATTCATGGAGTCTGTTTTGGTATCGGAGTGGGCGGAACCGCGCACAGCCAATGGGAACGAGCCGCGGTGGTTATAGGAAGTGACGCTCGGCCGGGCTTGGGAGCGCGGTCGGGACTGGGCCCGGTGCGGCTCCCGCCCCGCCATGGAGGCCTGGGTGCGCTTTAGCGCCCAGAGCCAGGCCCGGGAGCGTCTCCTCAGGTACAGCTTCGGCTCCCCAGGCCAGCGGGCAGTCGCGGGGGGCCTGGGGCAAGGGGGTAGTGGTGTTTCGGAGGGGGCGGTCACGGGAGCAGGGGGGATGACGGAGAGCTCGGGGAGTGGGGGAGGGAGTCACTGAGACCTCGGAACCCGAGGAGGGGGTTCGCGGGGTTCCCAAAATCCTGGGGCGGCGGGTGGGCCGTCCCGGATGCCTCAGAGCCCAGAGAAGGGGGGTCTGAGGCCCCGGGCTGATATCCCCAGTGGTCTGTGCCCCTCCTGACTCCATCATTGTCCCCAGGGCCGCGCAGTACGCCTGTGCCTTAGCTGGGGCCGCGCTGAGCCGCTCCGGGAACGGCTCCGAGGGCAGCTCCGGGACCCTGAGCCGCCTCCAGCACCTGGAGGCTCATCTGAGCCTGGGCCGCAAGCGTGAGTGGGGGGGATCAGGGTGGTTTTGAGGGGGAACATGGAGGGCCCCCCGGTGACCCCCTCGTGTCCCCTCCTGCAGTGCTGCGCTTGGGGGGCTCGGCCGAGGCCCTGGGAGTGGCCCAGCGCTCGCTGCATCTACCCGACCCTGTCCTGCGCTTCTGCCTCACCCTGTCCCACCTGAACCGTGCCCTCTTCCTGGCCTGTGATAACGTCCTGTGGGCCGGGAAAACCGGGATTCTGCCTGGCCTTGCCACGGACAAGTGGAGCCAGAGGTCCTTCAGGTGAGTGAGGTGGGACATTTGTGGAATGAAGGTTGGAAAAACTTCCTCAGGTTTGTTGGGTGAGCGGGGCAGGGAGGTCAGATTGCCAAGGGAGAGCAGGGAGTGACAATTCCGCTGGGGAGAATAAGGATAGGAATTCCCAAGGGAGGACAGGGAGTGGAACTACTGAAGGAGAGTAGGCAATGAGCTCCCCAAGAGAAGGAAGAGAATTAAATTCGTCCAGGGAGAGCAAGTGGTGAGTTTCCAAAGAAATAGGCCGTCTGAGGGAGACTGGGCAATGGAGTTCCTGAGTGAGGGCAGGGAATGGAATCCCTGGGCTCCTGAGAGTGGGTTCCTGCTGGCTGAACATGACTTTTCCATTCCCCCAGGCATTTCTGTAGCTGTTGGGAGTGGCTAGAGGCTTCTGCTGCTGCTGTTTCCCACTCTCCTATCTCTGCTCCCTGTTTTTCCCAGGTATTACCTGTTTGCTCTGGTGGTGAACCTGAGCCGGGATGCCTACGAGATCCGGGTGCTGCTGGAGCACGCAGAGGCAGCCAGGAAGCGTGGGAAGAGCCCGGAAAACAGGCCCCAGCTCCAGGCTGATGGTAGGATCCAGCGTCTCTGGCTCCACCTGCAGCTCCAGCTGCAGCTCCTTCTCCAGGTGCTCCGGGACAACCCCCCACTACTGCTGGACCTGCTGCGGAATGCCTGTGACCTGGTGATCCCGCTGGAAAAGCTGGGGCTGTGCCGGAGCAGCCCAGGCATCGTGGGATTCTGTGGCCTCACCTCCTCCGTGCTCTCCATCCTCACCATCCTCCATCCCTGGCTCAAACTGAAGCCATAGTTATCCTAGGGGCTTCCTTGGGATGTTTGGGAATCCTGGAGGCTTATCCCAGGGGCTGTGACACCTGGAGCTGACTGGCTCATTCCATTCCCATCATTCCTGACTCCTTGGAGCCACAAGGTTCCAGCATTGGATGCAGCATTGGATCCCACAGGGACATCGGCTCCCAAAATGTGTTTCTCCGCATTGACTTTTCCAGCAATTTTGGAGGTTCAACATTCCCCCTTTCTGTCTGGGAAGCGCCTTTGACTTGGAGCCAACTAATGGGGAATTTTTGGGGCTGGAAAATGTGGATTGCTGGGGGCCTCCCATGGTTTTTGGTGGGGTGAAGCCATGGGTTTGTGATGAATCTGGTGCCAGATAGCGTATCCAACCCCAAATTGTTTGAGCAATTTTCCTGCCTTATAAGAAAGCTGAGTGCAGGGAGAGGGGAATGGGAAGAATGGGTGTCAGGGATAAATCCATGGCTTTTGGGGGGAAATTCAGGCAGGAATTTGCTCTCCTGAACCTTCCATGAAAGCCCAGGGGAAGGAAGTGACTGAAGTGAGTTGCGTCAAGTTGGGGAGGATCGCTCCCAGCATTCCCATAGGGATTTCCCTCCACTGGAGAATACCGAGGGGACTTGGCATGCTGAGTGCTTCCCAGCAGATCCACCTCCCTTCTTCTGCCCAGAGCTGCACAGATCCACCCTGGCTGCACTTCCCTTCCCAGCTATCCTGTTCGGTGGTGTTTTTTGGGAAAAATCAGAATGTGGCTGGCTCTCTGTTGGGATTCCCTGCACCCGGTATTTGTGGTGCTGCTCCCTCACTGAATTCCCTTTTTCCCTGGATTCTGAACCCTGGATTGCGTGTGGCCCCAACCCAGTTCTGATGCCTGTTACTAAGCCCTGGACTGAGGGACACACTGGGAGCTGGGAATTACTTAAATCCAGAGGCAGATTGTCCTTGGACCCCTCCCTGGGAGAGCAGGAATGTCCTCTTGAAGGTTTTTTGGGAGCTCTGTACTGAAATGCCACCCACTCCTGGGCCCATCTGGACTGTGCCAAAGGCTTTTTCCTGGAAAAACCAGGCATTGAAGGCTTTGGAGCAGTGTATATCCTAGTGGGAATTGGGATGGGGAGAAGCACTCCAGGGGATCCCACAGTGTCAGTGTAATTAATTAATTAATTAAATTATTAAAGTGCAGCAGCCTCCAGTCCCTGTGTCCTGGGATATTTGGATATGCAGGGCACTGGGATGGGCTGGGAATGCTGGACTGGGAGGACTGGCCTGGGACCCTTCTGTGGTTTCAGGGGACATTGGAGAACCCTTGGATCTGGGGAGGGAAAATCCCTGCTTTTCCTGGCACCAAAAGGTGGGCAGAGGGGATACCCAGTCCCTGTCTCTTCCCATTCCCATCCTGTCTCTCTGGTGTTGCTGTTCCTGTCCCAGCTGAGCCTGGGCCAACTTCCTGTACCCCAGAGGCTGCCCTGGGGAGGTTTGGCAGGGGTGAGATGCAGCGGAGAGATTTTGGAGGGGGATTTGAGTTGTCCAGTGGCATTTGGGTATTGAGAGACTGCCAGCTTATTCACCAGCTTTCACAGAAGTAAACGTGAGCACCGTTTATTTCTATCTTTAGCACACCTTTTATAGGGTTCTACAGGGTCCGCAGGCAAGGCAAGCTACTATTGGCTAATACACACAAGTTTACATTTTTTCCCTTGTACACAAGGATATTGTTTTGCTTTACTCTCTCTTCTGCGGGAAGGTTTCAAGGACTTTAGCCTTTAATATCACAACTTATTTCAAGGACTGGTTTGTGCAGACAGGCCTTTACTAATATATAAAATATATCAACATTTGGGCATTGGGAAGGAGAAAGAATCTGGAGCGGTAGGAGGCTCCCCCCGTGCCTCAGTTTCCCCTGTGACCGAGGAGGCCCCTACCTGTGCTGGTGGGGCCCTACCTGGGTGGGGCCATCTGTGGCCGCAGCTGGAGCTGCACAGTTGCTGTTTGTCTGTTTTTCTCCTCATTCCTTGTTTTTTTTCCCCTGAAAATTCCAGCCCATCCCACAGCCGCTGGCAGCAGACAAGTTTCCCTCTGTCCTAAATTGCAGAGTTTGAAATTTTCCCTTTTTTTTTTTTTTTTCCCCCGAATCCACTCAAGAGCTCAGTCCGGGAGGTGGCAATGTCATCAGGAGGACGTGGCAACCCAAAATCCACCTAAAACCACACAAAATCTGCCCAAGCCCTAACCAAACCCCACCCAGACCCAGCGGTGACCCCCAAGACCCCTTATTCCAACCCACTCCTGACGGTCCCCACGGGGAAGATCCAGGTGTCACTGCCACCTCTGTGTGGTTCAGTCCTTGGGGGACATACACACTTTTCCCTCCCCATTTTTCCAGAAAAAAGTGGAAAAATCCCTTTCCAGCACCCCCTAAATGCCTGGTACCCCCACGAAATCCTGCACCCACCTCCTCCCTTTTTCCTGTGTTTGTACCACTTTGCCTGTTTTTTTTTTCTCCCAAACTCTTTG